ACACACACACACACACACCCCGAGGGGGACACACACACACACCCCGAGGGGGACACACACACACACACACACACACACCCCGAGGTGGGGGACACATTAGCCCCCCCAAAGGTCCGTCCCCCCCAGGACCCTGCAGCCCCCTCGCACCGTCCTACCCAAAGAGCATCCACAAACCACCCTCACCTGCAGAGCCCCCCCAGGGTTGGTACTTAAGGAGCCGGTGAAAAGCCCCTCCCTGACCTTGCCCAGGGTTTTACCCTTCCCACGCCACAGGGCAGGGGTTGTTACATCCAGCTGGAGCCCTGGGGAGGGGGGGGGGCTCAAAACGCCTTGGCTTCAGCCTGCCTTTTGCACAGGGGTGCTGAGTCCCTGCTAACTAGCACAGCCTTCCAGCCCCTCCGGGTTTATAGGGGGAAATCAGGGGGATTTATCCAGGTGGAGACTGTCTGAGCCCTTCAGCTGGATCACCTGTGTTTGTACATCAAGAGAAAACACAAGCCCCCATGTGTTTTCATAACCCCCAGTGTCCTGCAGCACCAGAGTTCTGGCCTATCCAAGGTTTCAATACCCTCCTTTTTGCCCCTGCTTTGCTGAGATCACCCACGCAGGCAGTTTCAGCCACCTGCCCTCTGCCTGACTCAGGTCCCCAGCACCACTGGCTGCTTTTCATGGGCAACGTGCAGGTTACCTTGATCTCATCACCTTCTGGCTGCACCTGAGACCCAACACCAGCAGGAAAGGAAAATATGAGCCAGGCCTGGGCTGCAAGTGGCCTCAGTCCAATTTCTCAGGTGCTCTCCCAGCCTTTGGCACACTGGATTCACTTCCCAACCCAGCTCTCCAGCTATTTATACCCCCCCAAGTGACAGCTGTTTGCCAGTGGCCTTGCACCATGCACCAACCCCTTGCCTTTCTCCACCTCTGGATTGCTGAGCCCCAGCCCAAATGTGAGTTATACCCCAGGCATAGAAAAATCAGACACTGTCCATCATCCCTGCTTATTGAATCTGCAAGACTTTAAGCACCAAAGCACCTCTTTTTTTAGAGGAAAAAAAGCCCAAAGGAGGCTCCTGTCAATCTCCCTGCATCACCTTGTTGGTGTTAATCACCCACAGTGCTGCTGTTCCCTCAGCACCCAGATGTCTAACCCTGATCTGGAGGAAGCCTTTTTGTTTCTGTTTCTATTGTGGTTTCTCTTCACTGCATGTCAGTAAATATCAGGCTGAGTTAATTTTCTCAGTGAAAAGACCTGACACCCAAGGGAAACTGTGCTGCCTCGTGAAAACAAAACATCTGGAGTCATCAACATGCTTTGATACTGCTGAGGATTTCCTTTCCTCCCTTCCTCCCTCGTTTTTGGTGCCAGTGGGGAAGAGCTGCTCTGTTTTATCCTGAACACACGTGTCAGTTCCAGAGCAAGCCTGGCTCTGTAATTGCATTCGTGCTGTTCCCAGCAATGATTTTCCTGCAGGAAAACCCTCCCTAATTTCACTTGGAGAATTCTTAAGCAGCTCCTCTTCCTGCAGCTACAAAAAAGTTTAGTGTTACTAAACTCGTAATTAATTACACCTGTTTCTCAAATGGAAAACAAATCCTCATTTATTTTCATCATGTCTGTGTTTTAAAGCCCTGCCACTGCAACTCTGGGCCCTTCAGTTTTCTACCTGGGCAGCTTTGAAAATTGTAATGAGGTGTCTGTTTTCCCTGACTGTGTGTTATTTCACTCTCCTTCCACCCTCCTTCTCTGCAGCCAGTGACCCAGTCACCTCCAGGTTACACCACTCCCATAGCAGCCTGTGCCCATAGGATCCTCCCCGAACACTGCCAGGTACACCAAGCTCAAACTTTTGGAGACTCTCCCAGTTTTGGAAGCTCTGAGTACTACAATAATTACAAAAATGTCTCGTTCAGAGGGTTCAATTCTCCACCTTTGGAGTTCTGTAGCCCACAGCAATGAGCTGTCTCCTGTAGCCCAGCAGTAATGAGGGATAATTTGCCTAGAGCTGCATCACCTCCCTGCAGCTGCCAGCAGAGACATCCAGCCTGAGGAAAGGAGAGGAATGAAACAACTAGGGGTATTCCAAACCCCTTGAGGTGCCACTCACCTTCTCAGCACCTCGAGGGCAGAAAGATGTGGTTAAGTGATGTCCCCCTCCATCCACACTGAGTAGCAACTGCAGAAAAACACCCTTGTGAGGAAGCACAAGCTGGTGTTTTCTCTCATTACTGGGCTACAGAATATGTTTCCCCTCATTACTGGTGGGCAGGCTGGGGCCAACCTCCCCCTCACCAGGATACTGGTCCAAGATGGGGCTGCCCACAACAGCTTTGGAGCTTAGGGAACGTGTTACTTAGGTGATACCTACACTGAGGAGTGACAAGAGCCTGGAACCAGCAGGCTGTCTCACTAGGAACAAACAAGCACGGTGCCAACGTCTCCAGCCCAGAGTCCCTCCCTGCCAAGAAGGTAGCAGTGATAGGAAAATGCCATGGGATCACAGGGGCTGAGGGATGATGGGCAGAACACCCAGGGCACTCTGCTCCCTGGAGCATCACTCCTGGCTCTGTTGC